GCTCTGAAATGATGGGGGAGGGGTGCAGTGAGCGGGGGGAAGGCTTGAGGAGGCCCATGAACTAGAGTCTGGTGAGTGAGAGGCAGTTGTTGATTTACAAAATAAAAAAGTACCCCAGGCAGAAGGAGCATAAGCTACCGGCCAGAGACAAGTCTGGCCCCCCACCTGTTCTTGTAAATAAAGTTTTACTGAAACACAGTCCACTCATTTGTTTACATACCATAGCTGCTCTTTCAACTTCACAGATCCACAAAACAGTAAAGATTTATTATCTGGTCCTCTCCAGAGACAGCTCTCTTGTGGGTAATGTGTTGTCCAAAATGAGTTCATTTTGGAATACCTGAAGAGGCTGCCAGAACCTTCCCAGAGAATCTCGATAGAGGTCTGGAAACCAGTCGGATTGGTGCCACTTGCGGCCATGGGAAGGAACTGTGTTTGGAAAAGAGCCATGATTGGTAGCTCTAAGAAGCGATCAGACATGTAGGAAACTGACCCCATGGATCCCAGAAAAAAAAAAAGGCAATAATTATGTCAGTATAGGGAGTCTGTAAAGTCCTTGTCCCCTTCAAGACCTCTATTTCCTAGTTATAAAGTAAACACGGGGCTGAGGATATAGCTCTGGGGCAGAGTGCTAGCACATTCGAGGGCCCTGGGTTAATTTAGTAGTACCTAAAGAATAAAGGAAAACAAATGAGCATGACATCACTATGGGCATTTAAAACCCTCTATGGCACAGGAGATGGTGCCCAAACTGCTTCTCAGATGGGGTCCAGCCCTCAGCACCCACACGATGGAGCGTTGCTGTTCACTCGTGTCTGTGTCCTGCTTTTCCCTTGAGGGGTAGGACGTGCTTTATAGGCACACACCCGAGCATGTCGTCAATGCCTGCATCTCACTTCAGTTTCTCCACAAGTCGATCTTTCTCCTCCGTCCCTCTCTTGTGTTTTGAAACTGGGGCTCACTCTGTAGACAAGGCTGTCCTCAAACTCACAGGCATCCACCTGCCTCCTCCCTTTTGAGGGCTGGGATTAAAGACATGCTTCACCAGGCTTGGTTGTGTTTGTTTGTTTTTTAGATAGAGCCTTGATCCCTATCCCTGGCTGGCCTGGATCTTCATTCGTAGTTCAAGCTGAACTTGAACTTACTGCAATCCTCCTGCCTCAGCCTGAGAATGCTAGAATTACAAGTGTGTGCCACCACACCCAGCTCTTCAAATACCTTATGCAAATGATCGTTGCTGTGGTCTACCAAGGATTTTGAATCTTGCCAGACTCAGTTTCTAAAAAGCAGACTAGTGGCACGGGCCTGCCGTCCCAACTGTGTGGGAAGTAGAATCATGAGTTCAGGGATTGTCTGGGCCACAGAGTGAGTTCAAAGCCAGCCTTGGGAATTTAGCAAGCCTGTGCCTCAATAAGGCCTGGGAGTAGAGTACCTGCCCAGCACAAATGCTTGATAACAGGTGCCTGTGCCCCCTGAATGCCCACAAGTGTGCTAAAAGGTAAGCTGAAACATAAGAAAGAAGCTTTGGAACGTTTACTTAAACAATGATGCCCAAATTATGAAGCTCAGGGCTTGTCAAGATGACTAAAGGTGCATGCCACTAAGCTTCATGACCTGAGTTCAATTCCCAGGACCCACATAGTAGGAGCAAACTGTCTCTTAAAAGTTTCCCCCTTTAGGCTGGGCGGTGGTGGTGCACACCTTTAATCCCAGCACTTGGGAGGCAGAGGCAGGTGGATCTCTGTGAGTTTGAAGCCAGCCTGGTCTACAGAGCAAGTTCTTGGACAGCCTCCAAAGTCACAGAGAAACCCTGTTTGAAAAAACAAAAACAAAACAAAACAAAACAAAACAAAAAAGTTGGCCTTTGACTGGATGATGGTGGCGCATGCCTTTAATTCCAGAACTTGGGAAGCAGAGGCAGGTAGATCTCTGTGAGTTTGAGGCCAGCCTGGTCTACAGAGTTCCAGGACACCCAGGGCTACACAGAGAAACCCTGTCTCAAAAAACAACAATAACAAAAATGTTGCCCTTTGACCTGTATATACACTCAGGGATGTGCCATAAAATGTAATAAAACCTAATCAAGAAGCTTCAAGCCGCTGGGCGGTGGTGGCACACGCCTTTAATCCCAGTACTCGGGAGGCTGAGGCAGGCAGATCTCTGAGTTCGAGGCCAGGCTGGACTGACAGCCTCGTAAAACAAAAACAAAAAAAAACCCAAAAAACAAAACAAAACAAAAAAGACGCTTCAAGCCACTGAGGTTCAGGAATCCAGCTGAGGGTACTGGGGAGATTCAAAAGGAAAACAGAGATCTGATTGGTTTGGAAGTTTCCTAGCGATAGATCATAACTGTATTGGTTACTTCTGGTTGGTTGATTATAACTGTATCGGCTACTTCTGATTGGTTGAGTGCAAGTTCTGTCTGTCTTTAGGTAGTTCCAGAAATGGCTAAAGCTTTGTGTCTGTTTGCAAATCAAGCAGGACCTGTCTGTCTGTCTGTCTGTCTGCTCAGGGCCCTCCATTCTGCCTCCTTTTGAATCTGCTTTAATAAGTGGGGATAATAACTTCTAGTGCCTGCTTTGTGCTCCACCGAGGTCTGATCTCCCTGGTGTGGAACTTGTGCGTTTCCCCAGATGTTCTCTCACGTTGAGTACCATCGCTTTGGTCCCTGAGGGTGCTGGAGAGTCTTCAGGGCGCCATTCCTAGAGGCACAAAGCCGCTCCCCGTGACCACTCCCCTTGCAGGTGTCAGGTGCAGGAGGATGTGGCTTCACGGTCCCCACACAGAAAGCATGAACCAGGATCCGTTTGGCGATGTCCGAGCCTCTAGAAAGCAGGTCTCCCTGCTCGATGGACCTTGATAGGGGTGAAAGGCAGCTGTCTCTTGCCATATAAGCTGGCTGGGGCGGGGCTGGGTGGCAGGGCACTCGCCGGGACAAAGGACTGTCTCAGTTCCTTTGCTTGTAGCTCACATCACAGCCCCGATTTGCGTCCTGTCGCTGCAGCTTATCTGTCTGCTCAGGTGAGGTCAGCTATGGGCCTCAGTGCTGGCTTCCTAAAGCGGTTAAAAGATACTGTCACGACTGACCACGAAGCCTTGGGTCTGTCTGTCTTTTTGTTGTTGTTGTCTTGTGTGTTTGCTTGCTTTATTTTAGACATTATCTTACTTCATTTATTTTGTGTGTGCATATGTGCGTACAAATTCATGCCATGGTGTGTGTGTGTGAGAGAAAGAGAGAGAGAGAGAGAGAGAGGGAGGGAGAGAGAGGGAAGGAGAGAGAGGGACAGAGAGAGAGAGAGAGGGAGGGACAGAGAGAGAGAGAGAGAGAGAGAGAGAGAGGGAGAGGGAGGGAGAGAGAGAGAGAGGGAGGGACAGAGAGGGACAGAGAGAGAGAGAGAAAGAGAGAGAGAGGGAGGGAGAGAGAGGGACAGAGAGGGAGAGGGAGGGAGAGAGAGAGAGAGAGGGAGGGACAGAGAGGGACAGAGAGAGAGAGAGAAAGAGAGAGAGAGGGAGGGAGAGAGAGGGACAGAGAGAGAGAGAGAGAGAGAGAGAGAGAGAGGGAGAGGGAGGGACAGAGAGGGACAGAGAGAGAGAGAGAGAGAGAGTGAGAGGGAGAGGGAGAGATACAGACACAGACAGACAAAGAACAACTTTTAGGGGTCAGTTCTACTTGGTAGATTCCAGGACTTGAACTCAGGCTCTCAGGGTTTGATGGCAGGCACCTTTATACATGGCCCTGTTTTGTTTTTTGACATAAACTGTGAGATTCTGGTTGACCTGATATTCATTATCTCATAACCCAGGCTGGCCTCAGCCTCTCAAGTGCAGAGATGACAAGCATGAACTACCATACGTGGCTCATATTTTATTTTATCGAGCTGGGTCTCATTTTGTAGCTCGGGCTGACCCCAAACCCTTCTCCTTGTTGACTTTTGAGTGCCGCAGTTAGAGGCGTGTACCACCTGGACCTGCTGACTTTTGCTTTTAAACAATCTGCGAGCATGCGAGGCAGGGTATGCCTTCTCTCTAGATGGGTCTTGAGCCTGTCCTTGCAAGAGGACAGGCAGACCCTGGAGGCTAATCCCCCCTCCCCCTGTGTTGTGCTGTCAGCCTGCCTAGTCTGTGCAGCCCTGGTTGTCACCCCTCCTGCCTGACTCTACTGCCCACCCTGGAGTGACACATTTACTTGGGAGTATGTGGTGATGGTCTCTTGACATGTTTCCTGGCTGGTCCCACCACCATGCTACATGAGGGACAGCATGAGACCATGGCTGGTGGACAACCTGAGACGTAGGGTTGGCCAAGGTACAAATTAGGGAGGAGAAATTCACTGGGGGGTTGGAAACGTCACTGCCCAGGGAATTCTGCTAAAGGGACCTGCTGAGTCATCTGTGGAGTGGCCAACACAGAGTGGTACTCTTTAGCCCAGAGTAACATTCTCTGCCTTGGCCTCCCCAGTGCGGGCATTGTAAGTGAGAGCCACTGCACCTGGTTATGTAGAACCGCGCTCGAGAAGAAAAGCATCCTATTGCCCGGAGAAGGGAGGATGCTGAGCTATAGAGACTGGGGGGGGGTGTACACACATGTGTGCGTGCACACACACGGAACACAAAAGCTAGTCTATATACAAGCCCCAAAAAGTTGGGTGTTTTGTGGTCCCTGCCCCTCTGCCTGCCATTTTCCATCTCAGATGGAACTGAAACCTGCCCTCCCTTTCATCTGGCCTTAGCCTCCCGTGACAGGGTTCTTTCTGGTCGCTACTCTCCATTGCCTGTGGAGAAATGCTGTGACTGGTGTCCCAGGTCTCACCCACAGGTCCTGGACACCTGTGAGGTCCCCTACCTTCCTTGATTTCCAAGAGTGGCAAGCGTATCACTGTCACACTGCCTACCCGATTTTAATCAGACTTGTCACCAAAACTGTCACAAACAAGGGGGTGTGGGTGTCACGTGACCCGTCTGAGTAACCACATTCTCACTTCCTTCTTCCACACCCTGCCGTTGGGGGTAGGCGCATTGGGACCACAAGTGTCTGGCAGTGTGGGCTGGGGCCTTGTCACTGAGGCAGAGTCACTTCTGGGCCCTGAGGCAGCTGCCCCATGCTCTGCTGAGCAGGGTAAGTTCTGGTTTGCAAAACTTGGGAGTGGCTGGGGGCTCCAGGGACAAGAGGCCTGCCTTTGCACACACAGCAGGACCTGGGCCCTTCCGAGTGGCACTGAGGGCCTGGACTGAGGTCTCCATGGAGACTGGGTCTTCTCCAGCCTTAGCTGTGGTTCTCTCCTGATATCGCCTAACTGTTGTATGGCTACCAGGCCATGGCTGCTGCCTTGCAGTCTCTGAATGGAGACTCAGAAGTCTGGGCGCTGTCTCTAGAAACTATCCTGCCCCCTCTTGTCACGAGTGAGAAACTTAAGACCAGAGTTGAGACTAAAGTCTGAAATGGTGTGGTGTTTGTCTTGAGGTTGTTACAGCATGAAAATATTCTTTGGGATTCTCTCTCTCTTTCAAATTATATATGGTTTCCAATGTGTTCATTAGGCTGGTCTGGAACTACGTATAGCCTAGGCTAGCCTCTTGCCTTGGCCTAGTGCTGGGGTTACAGGCATGGACCACTCGGCCAGCCTTCTTTGATCGTTTACAATTTTTATTTTTATTTGTATGTTATTACTGTTGTGTTTGTGTGCCCATATGAACTTGTGTGCACAGACGGGCGCATGAGTGTCATGCCTCATGTGTGGGGTCAGAGTCAGTTCTGTGGGTTCAGGGAACTAAACTCAGGCCAGCGGACATCCCTGCCAGGCACTTGCGCCCTTGGGGTTCTCTAGCCCACCCAGATTTTTTAAATTCGATTTTGAAAACAGAACTTGTTCATGGGAAACTGTTTTTAAATTAGTCTTCCTTTTTTAAAAAAAAATGTCTGTGTATGTGTGTTCTGTGTACAGTGTCCTCATAGGCCAGAAGACGTTGTCAGATCCCTTGGAACTGGAGTTAAAGCTGGTTGTGAGCCTCCATGTGGGTGCTGGAGGTCAAACTGGGTTCCTCTGGAAGAGCAACCAATGCTCTTAACTGCTGAGCAATCCCACCAGGCCCAGTGTTTTGAGACAGTCTCATGTAGCCAAGGCTGACCTCAAACTTACTACGTAGCCTCGGAGTACCTTAAATTCTGTGCCTCTGGGTTCCAAGCGCTGCGGTTAGAGGCATGTACCTGGGCCACGCCTGGTTCATTGATGCTGGAATCAGTCAGGGCTTCAGGCAGGCTAGGCAAATACACTGCCCACTGGAAACTGGCAGGGGCCGAAGACCCAAGCAGATCCCATCCGCCACACCTACAAGCCCGTGTTGTCTTTGCTGGATGATTGGGGTTTGAGCCCAGGACCTTTGGCAAACTTGGCACCGAGCATCCTCCAGCCCTTCCCCCTGCAGAAATTGATTCCTGTTGCCTGACCACTCTGCTTTCTGCTGGCCTCATCTTACCTCCTTTTCCCGTAACTAACTTCCATCTACAAGGGCCTGGCCTCTTGATGGCCAAGGGTTAGGGAGGTGGCTCTTCTGGGTGCCTCTGGTGATGCCACACCCTGTGAGGATGTTCCTTCCTCACAAGATTGGCCAGCAGCCAGAGAGCTGAAACTGGGGAATGAAAGGGGCACCCTGCTAAGCGCTCCCAGAAAAACCTGGGTTGGGTCCCTGCTGGGCCACCAGAGGGGTTTTGGTGCTTAGGGGTCACCTGGGTGTTCCTGATGGACGGTGCTGCTGTTTATAGGTGGGAAAACAGGCTCTGGGGAGAGAGGCAGCTACATGTGATGTCATGGGCTAGAGGCACTGAGTTAGGATGTCACACAGGCCTCTGGCTGCAGGTCCCTGGGCCATGGTGACCAGTTCTGTCCGTCTCCTTTGCTACATAGTGCAGGAAGTGGGGAGCGGAGGGTGATGCATTTGAGGGAGACCATCTGGCTGGGCTATGTGCTATATATGCCTTTTCAGAAAGCCAGGTGAGGCCCTCCCTGAGTTAGTTTGTGCTAACCCTCACAACTGATCTGCAGCTAGCCAGCGCCCTGGGGTTCCAACAAGCCACTCTTGGTTCCTGGGGTTGAGGAGCCCCCATGTTATCTAACACCATGCTTGTGGCCTTGTAGTGGGGCCACAGGATATTAATTAGACGCACAGGATGTTTACTAGTGAAGAGTCAGGGGACCCGGAGTGGAGGCGCACGCATTTAATCTCAGCATTTTCTGGAAGCAAAGGCAGGTACACCTCTATGAGTTTGAGGCCACGTAGGGAGATGTTGTTTTCCATTAAACTCAGTAGCAGTCCCTTAAGCTGTCCTACAATCCTGCAGCTACCTGTTCACCAGCGTTGGCCCTAGTCAGGCGAGAATCCTGTCCCTCAGGCACCCCACTAAAGGGAACTTTATCTAGATCTCTATCTCTTTATAGGATTCAAGGCTGAGGTGAAATTCTCATTCAGGGAGGCTGAATAACAAGTAGCTAACTTCCTCTCCTAGCTTATGGCCCCCCAAAAACTGGGACTCAACCCCCACTTATGAACCCTCTCCACACATGGTTCCTCCCTACCGCTTCCTGTCAGCTAGTTGCTGACTCAGCCTCCTGACCCCAGGTTAATTTTATTTAATCAAGCAAATGCGACATGTCTTTGTATCACTAAACAAATATTCCACAGGGTAAACGAATGTAACACATCTTAAATTAATATTCCACAACATCGAGACTCTTGTCTCAAAATGAGGGAATGAATGAATGAATGAACAAATGAATGATAGGCACCGAGTGTCAAGGCACACAGCTCTAATCTCAGCACTCAGGAGCAGCCTCAGTAATTCAAGGTCACTTCTGGCTAGAGCCAGTTGTAAACCAGCCTAGGCTACACGAGACTACCTCAGAACAGACAAAATGTCTATAGGTGGGAACGGGAATTAAGAGAAAAAAGGGGGGTCTTTGACAGACTGACAAAAAAGGTGGCATGTGCTAGTTGTCAAATACGGGAGGCTGGAGACGGGGCGTCTGTGCAGTTCTGGGGTTGGGAGTGGCCCTGACAGGGAATGCTGGGCCTGCTGGTGTTGAGAGCCACAGGGTCCCTGCCCTCCATGAGCCTGTGGGGTGACCCAGGGCAAGTTGTCCCGTTGCCCCTGGTCTAAGGGATAGAGTCACAGGAGGTGAGTTTGTGGGTACTGGGCATGTGGCACTGTCTCCGGGTGCCCGTAGTATTGAGCTTCAGGAGTTCATAGGTTAACTTGAATGGAGTTTTAGGAGACAAACTTCAGGAAGGTTTAAAAATGGAAGACGCTGGACCAAACCCGAGATGATCTGAATGGTTCCAAGAACAGATGGTTGGGGGCTAAAATGGGCTCTGCGGGCCGGGGGCTGGGGGGAGCTGCCTGGCTTCAAGCTCCTGCTTCTGGCCTGGCCTGTGTGACTCCAGGTGCCTGGGGGCCTCAGAAGGATGGTTCCATGCTTTAATGGGGCACGAGTCAAGGACTCACAGGCTGGTCTTAGGGCGATGTGCCTTACCCACGCCACAGTCAGTCTGTGTGACTCACAAGCCTGAGGAGGTTGAGACTGAGAGCAGCAGCATCCGGGTCCCGCCATAGAGACCAACTGCTGGGCATCTCAGTTCCAGCCTGCTCCGAGGTTGGGGATTTCCCAGGACACGGCAGTGGTTAACAGGCAGCCCTTTGCCCTAAATGCAAACTTCAAAATTATGACAATGAGCTAGACACGGTTTTAGTCCCAGCACTCCCCGGGAGGCAGAGGCAGTTGGATCTCTGCGAGTTCAAGACCAGCCTAGTCTACATAGTGAGTTTCCAGACTAGCCAGGGCCACATGGGGAGACTCTGTTTCAAGAAGATAATGATAATTAACAACTGGGTTTTAATGAGCATTTACTGGTTGCTAAACATCCTGTGGAGACCATGCCTCACCCACCCTCAGCAGCCCCATGAGGAATGGGATTTCTCTCTCTCTTTTTTTTTTTTTTTTTTGTTTGTTTCTCTGTGTAGCAGCCCTGAATATCCTGGAAGTAGCTTTGTAGACCATGCTGGCCTTGAACTCACAGACGCCTGCCCCTGCTTCCCAAGTGCTGGGATTAAAGTCGTGCACCACCATTGGGCCGAGGAATGGCATCTCTTGCCTCTGCACACACTGTCCTCAGTGCTGTCCTGCGACTCTTTGTCCTCATGGTGGTGTGAAAGTAGCAGCCATCCTGGAGAACCCACGGTTTGAGTTTTGAATCTGATCTACCCTGGGCTATGGATTCTTAGACAATGCGGCCTGGAGTTAGTTAGACAATGTTTCCCAACTGCAGGCTGAGGTAAGCATTTCCAACACGTTTTAGATGAGCCTGGCTATTCTACATCGTGTTGTCAGGTGAAGTGTGTTAACGTATTTCTCACACGTTCATGCCACCACAGGGACTAAACCCCACAGCAAACCGAGGCACACCTATATTGCAGATGGGATACCCATGGCACAGAGAGGTAAAATGAGTTGCCGGAGGTCACACAGCTTTGTCTGGGACAGAACTATGATGGGCTGTCATCTGACTCCAGGACATAGACCCCCTCATGGGACCTGAGGTGCCTGTGCCTCAGTCTCTCCTGGTTGTTGGCGTATGCTTTGCCTCTCTTGGAGTCTGTTCTGGCACTCAAGATGCTGTTCTGGCACTCAAAAGTCTTGGAGGAATGAGGCCCCTGGCGGCCTGCCCTTCATAAACTCCAGGGGCTAGGGAGGTAGTTACTGGTTTGGGGGTGAAGGACAGGAAACGGGCCGGCAAGCATCGAGACAAATTGGACGTGGCTCCACCCTCTCGGAGCTCAGCCCAGCCCTGCTCTTCTTTTCCTGTCACCTGAGGGGAGGAGGGTGAACCACCCCTCCAAGGCTTGCCCTCCTTATCTGTGTCATGGGGGTCTTGAGAGTTGGTGCCTCACTGGGAGGGGATGGGCGTCGCTTTCACCTGGGCCTCAGGAAACATCGCCAGTGATGCATCTGGTGCTGGTCCACCTGTTTTGGGCATGGCTTCCACTGGAGCTGTGAGATTCCATCCCTGCAGAGGACAGATGTTCCAGGGCCCGTCCTGTTGATGTCCACAGATGGCAGGGGATGGCATGGAGTAGCCAGTGGCCCTGGGTAGTAGAGAGGCTGGGGGATTTCTGTGAAATATGACATGTGGTTCGAGCTGGTCACTCTGGACAGGCCCAGGCAAGGAGATTTGGGCGCATCTTCTTCTGTGCCAAGCAAAAGTTCTTCCACTGAGGCACACCCCCAGCCAGGGAGGCGCAGCCCCGGTTCTTGGTTTACACATTTACTTTTACACCTCAACGTATGTTCTTCTGCCTCTAGCTCCCAAGTGCTGGGCTGACAGCTATGCATCAGCATGCCTGATCACATTTTTTTTAAAAGAAGACATTATATTAACTAATGTATTTACTTATTTATATGAGACAGTCTTCCTGTGTTGCCCAGGCTGGGCCCAGCGACCCTTCTGATGTCAGTCAGGACCCTCCCTCCGCTCTGCTCACAGCTGTCCCACACCCTCCCACAGCAGGGAAGGGTTCCCTGTTCCCTGGCTGCCCACAGTGGCAGCATTCTCATCTCCGTGGCCCTCTTGAGCCCGAGCCTCCCTGTGTCCCCACAGAAGGTGTCCCCGATTTCTTCCTTTCAGAAGCCAACATCTGGAACCTTCCATGGGACATCTTTGAAGCAATGTCACTCATTTTACACGAGGCAGCTGAGGGTCAGGGAGGGCGCTCAGAGTCACACAGCTGCTGTGGGGTGAATGTGGGGCTCTGGCCAGCCCTGTCTTCACTCCAAGCCGCCTGTATGTGCAGGGGATTGTGGGTAGGAAGCAGCCTGGCTCCTTTCTGGTTGCCCCTCACCTGCAGATGGGACCCCTGACTTTCAGACTCCCTGACCCCCACAAGCTGCTTTGTCCCCAGGAACTGAAGGACTAGCCTCTGTAGTGTCTACTGCTCCCACCCCCCCCCACCCCACCCCCTGTTTTAGGAAGTGGTTAAGCCTCTACCTTCCAGGAACCAAGGGGAGGCAGTGGGTGTGGGCTGGGCGGCGGCGGTGTACTTGTCATGATGATGACACGCACCTCACTCGGCACCGGTGACTTCTTCCTGCTTTGCTCTCCCCCCCCCAGGAAAATTGGACCGAGGCAGGGCTGTGTCTTTTCCCTCTAAGAAGGAACGCTGCTCAGAGTCACACAGCTTCTGAGAGACAGGGTTTGAATCTCTTCCCGTCCGACACCGTTGTCTGCTGCCCCTTTCTAGGACCTCAGTGGTTACTGAACAACTGAACAACCCCTTTCAGGATCCAAGCTCCACAGGCCTGAACTAAGCCCTCTGCCGGCCGGCCGAGGGCACCTCTGCCCCTTCACCCGGGCTGTGTTCTCCATAAAGCCTCCCTTGGCCTGGACTTGGCCACTCCCTTCCTGGGTGTCTTTGGGCAAGCTTCTTGGCATCTCTGAGCCTGTGCCTGCCTCTGTAGCAGGTACCGTAAAGTTTGCTTTCACATTTTTTTTAGTAGAAGATGTGATCAAACTGGGCGTAGTGGCCCCAGCACTTGAGAGGCAGAGGCGGGCAGATCTCTGTGAGTTCAAAGCCAGCCAGGGCTACAGAGTGAGTTCCAGGACAACTAGGGCTGTGTAGAGAAACCCTGTCTCAAAATAGCAACAAAACCAAAAGACAAAAAACAAAACAACAACAACAAAAAAAGCCCACAAAGATGTGCTCGGAGTTGCATTTAAAAACTCAGTGAAATTCTAACCAACCCATGAAAAGAGGCCACGTTGAACCCAGTAATGAGGGCCCTACAGGTTAGAGTCGTCCTGTCCCTCCCTCCTGCCAATTACAAAATGAAGGGCCAGGAAAAAATATAGCAAATGAAGGATGTGGAAGCTGTCCATTCAAAGACACTGTTGGAGGGATAGTGTACCGCTGAAGGACACTGTGTGCAGGACACCAAGTACCCAGCTCCTGCCACTCAAGGGCTGGAGTCTGCCCTTTATAAACCCTGGACAACGCCTGGAAGATGAAGTAAGGGACTGTTCTTCCTGGCTCCGTGGCTGGGAGGACAGTGGTCCCATACAGACAAGTCTGAAGGCTGAGCTCCCTGAGAGGTGAGGTGCCTCCTGGATCCTGAATGTGCAGTTGATGGCTCTGGGCTCTGAGGGATTTTCAGGATAGGTTGACTGGAGCAACCAGAGCAGCCAACCTTGGCTGAGAGCTTGCTATGACCCGACATCTTCACAGTGCCTTTGAGGCGAGTCTTGTCATCCCCATTGTCCAAGCAAGGACACAAAGGGAACAGGACAGAGACAGAGAGAGACCAACCAAGGGGAGAGATGGCTCAGTGGTTAGGTCACTTGTTGCTTTTCTAGAGGATCTGAGTTCGGTTCCCAGCACCCATGTCTGGCAGCTCACAACTGTCTGTAACTGTAGCTCCAGGGGACCTGATGCCTACAGCCCCTGCAGGTGCCTGCACTCGGGTGCACATACCCCCACATAGACATGTCATGTGGATAGTATAAAATACTAAGAAAAACACTTTTTTTGAAAGGTTTTAATTTTTATTTCATTGTTTTATTTTATTGGTTTTCCAAGACAGGGTTTCTCTGTGTAGACCTGACTGTCCTGGAACTTGCTCTGTAGACCAGGCTGGCCTCAAACTCACAGAGGTCCGCCTGCTTCTGCCTCCTGGGTGCTGGAATTAAAGGTGTATGCCACCACCACCCAGAAGGTTTTTTTGTTTTTGAGACTATAATTACATCATTTCCCCCTTCTCTTTCCTCGATCTAAACACCCCCATATATCCCTCCTTGAACTATTTCAAATTCATGGCCTCTTTTTTCATTAATTGTTGTTTCTGGGTAAGGGTACTTGTGTGTATGTTTTCAGAGATGACTACTGGGTGGTGGATGACCAGTTGGCGTGCTCTTCCCCAGGGAGGACTACTTCTCTCCATTTCAGCATTCCTTAGGTGGCTGAAGTTCTTGCTAGGGCTGAAGTCTTTCCTGGTCTCTTTTGGCTTGTCTATTGGTGTTGTCCTTATTCTGTTCAAATATATCCTTTAAAGAGGGGGGGGGGAGACCTGAGGGCGGGGCAGGGAGGAGACAGAGATGAAGGGGGTGGGGCTAAGGAGATGCATTAGAGACCAAGGAGCTGGCTCTGTCCTCAGACCCGGGAGGGCTCTTCTACTCAGCCACTGTATTGTGAGTGTGACACCTGTTTATAATGTGTTTATAACGTGCTCTTTTGACGCTGTTAATTTCTAAAATAGAAACTTAAGGGCTGATAGGAGGCTCAGCTGGGAAAGACGACTGCTGCCAAGACAGACAACCAGTTTAAATCCCTGGGCTGACGAGGGGGGAACCGACTCCTGCAGGTTGTCTTCTGACCTGCACACATGGCTTGTGTGTGCACACACACACATGCACACACACACATGCACACACACATGCACACACACATGCACACACACACATGCACACATATGCAAAATAAATAAAACACAAATAATCATGACCCGGACATTAAGAAGAGCTAACACAAAAATGTGAGTGGGGGCCCTAGAGAGATGGCTCAGCTGTTGAGATCCCTGGCTGCTCTTGCAGAGGACCCGGGTTCAGTTCCCAGCACCCACACGGTGGCTCACAGCTGTTTGTAAGTCCAGTTCCAGGGGATCTGATGTCCTCTCCTATTTGCCAAGGCCACTGCATGCACATGGTGCACACACATACATGCAGGCAGGCAAAGCACTCATACACATAAAAGAAAAGTAAATCTTCTTTAAAAAGAAAAGTGAATGTCGGGCGTTGGTGGCGCACGCCTTTAATCCCAGCACTCAGGAGGCAGAGGCAGGCGGATCTCTGTGAGTTGGAGGCCAGCCTGGTCTACAGAGCAAGTTCCAGGACAGCCTCCAAAACAATACAGAGAAACCCTATCTCAAAACAAAACAAAACAAAAAAACAAAAAACAAAAACAAAACAAAACCCCCCCTCCAAAAAAAAAAACAAAAAAAGAAAAGAAAAGAAAAGCGAATGTAGCAAGTAAGACTTCCTTTGCTGGACTCAATGGCACACCCCTGCATGCTGTAATGTGAGACGCTGAGGCAGGAGGATTGCTTAGTTCAAGGCCAGTCTGCACTACAAATTGAGTACCAGGTCAGCCGCATGTACTTAGTAAGAATAAACCAGGCGGTGGTGGCACACATTTTTAATCCCAGCGCTCAGGAGGCAGAGGCAGGTGGATCTCTGTGAGTTTAGGCCAGCCTGGTTTACAGAGCAAGTTCTAGGGCAGCCTCCAAAGCCACAGAGAAACCCTGTCTCCAGAGGTGGGGTAAAAAACTGGCGGGGGCAGACAGGGAGGAAACAAAATTTAACCAAAACTGCTAGTGGGGTTGATGAGCCGTCTCTGATGGCATTATTTATGTGGATTAGCACAAAGCTTTAGCAGCCAAGAGTCCCATCTCAAGAGATGTCTAATGCACAGTGCCTGCCCCAGACCAGACGAGGGCTGCCAGTGAGATCCTCAGCCGGCACAGACTGACGCCATCCCCCCCCTCTGTCTCCCCAGGTACCATGCTTCCACGCTTGCTTCTGCTGCTGAGCCTCTTGGGCCCTGGCAACAGCCTTCGGTTGTGGGACCCCTGGGAGTATGGAGGCAAGGAAGCCTCAGAGCCCGTGCATTTCCGGGACCGGAGACAGGCTGCTTTGGATGATGAGTATGAGGAGTCAGACTACTCCCCAGAAGGCACAGACCCCCCAGAAATGCTGATAAATGTCACCGACACTGTGGCTTCACACCCTGAACCTCTGACCATGACAACCATGCTAGATCAGAGAGTGTCTGTGAGGCCTGGAACCTCTGAGTCAGTCACTACCAAGATCACCATCACCGGCCCTGCTGGCCCAGATGCAGGAGGGCAGAGCACAGAATCTGCCACACAGTGGAGGCCAACCATCCAACCAGCATCCACGGAAGCAGGGACTTCACAGCCAGCACCCACGGAGGCAGAGACCTCACAGCCAGTACCCACAGAGGCAGAGACCTCACAGCCAGTACCCACGGAGGCTGAGACCTCACAGCCAGCATCCACAGAGGCAGAGACCTCACAGCCAGTACCCACAGAGGCAGAGACCTCACAGCCAGTACCCACGGAGGCAGAGACCTCACAGCCAGTACCCACAGAGGCAGAGACCTCACAGCCAGTACCCACGGAGGCTGAGACCTCACAACCAGCACACACGGAGGCAGAGACCACCCAGCTTCCCGGTGGTCTGGTTGTAAAAAGTCTGTCTACAGAGTCCACAGCCACAGAAACACCTTCCAAAGAGCCCACGGCCACGGAGACCATGTCCACAGAGCCTATTGACTCTGCCATCTTCTTTGGGCCATCTGTGACTCACAAGAATAATGATGTGGCAACTGACCACTTAAATGACAATGCTTTGAAGAACGGGCTGTTTGTGACCCCTTGGAGCTCTCTGGCCACAACAACCCCATGGACCTCTGACCTCATCCCCGTCAAGCAATGCCTCCTAGTCATCCTCATCTTAGCCTCTCTGGCCACCATCTTCCTGGTGTGCACGGTGGTCCTGGCAGTCCGCCTCTCCCGTAAGAAGCACATGTACCCAGTGAGGAACTACTCCCCCACAGAGATGATCTGCATCTCATCTTTGCTGCCTGAGGGGGGCGAAGGGGCCCCTGTCACAGCCAATGGGGACCTGCCCAAGGTCCGGGACCTGAAGACAGAGCTCAGTGAGGACCGAGATGGGGATGACCTCACCCTGCGCAGCTTCCTGCCTTAGCCCTCCCCCCAGCCACCTGAACAAGACCCTTGCTGACTTTACCCTCCATGCCCACCTGCTGGTCACCAACGCCACAGATCTGGGATTCCTGGGTGAACTTTATCCGCAGGAGTCTTTAGGGTCCAGAGCCTCTAAGATCCTGCAGCTCCTGCTTCATTCATGGAACCTGGTGGCCTCCAGACCAAGGACCGCAGTAGAAGTTGCTGCTCTTGGACGCCTATATCCACCTGATTGCTGTTTTCTTCTGGGACCACCCTCCCCCAATGCCTCCAGTGCTATGAGACTCCATGCCGGTCACTAGAGTCCTGGCCTCATGTCCCCAAGAAAGAACAAATTCCCTACCCCAGTCCCAAAGCCTTCCTCTTGGTTGCTATGGTTGCCTGATAAGAAAGGCTCTCTGGGAGAGGCTGCCAGCCAGCAGCATTTTCCAAGGCCATGTCTGTTCCTCTACCCGCAGTGAGGGGCAGCTTGGCTTTCCCAGGCACCTGTCTGGGGATAGCAGGGCAAGAACTGGAAAGGTAGTCCCTCACTTGGGTCTGTGTGGACCATGAGCTTCTTCCGTCTCTTGACAGAGTGAAACTCACACTGGCCTGTCACAGCGCAGGCACTCAATAAATGTGCGGCAGCAAATGGTGGCTGAGTCCTTCACATGCCCAGGATGCCACCTCCAGGCAGTTTAGCCAAAGGGCTCTCAGGCCAACGTGCATGTTGCTCGGAGACAATAGAGACACTTAGTATGTCCTTGGGCAACGGCAAGGAGGAAATGGAGGGCTGGAGACCACTGCACACACTAGAGACCTGAAGGAGTAGGAGCTTAAGATCATCCCTGGACATGTAGCGAGTTTGAGATCAGCCTGGGATCAAAGAAAACTAGAACTGGTTCTAGCTGGATGGCTCAGCAGGTGAAGGGTGCTTGCAGCCAAGCCTGATGTCCTAGGCTTGACTGGCAGACCTACATAGTGGAAGGAGAAAACTGACTCCCCACAATTGTCCTCAGACCTCCACACACAATAAACAAACAAAACCAAACAAATAAACAAAGCAGAGTGCTTCGCTGAATACACCCTTACCAAACTGGGCCAAGGGAGGTGGGTCCCTCAGTTCTCAGACAAATATGCCTCTTGGTGCCCACACGGCCCTGCCCAGAAACCTCTCTCCCTCTACAGGTGCCTATATCCACTTCTAGCAGATCCCCACAGACTGGCAGAGCTCGCTGCCATCCGTGACACTTTCGAGGTGTCACTCACCTCCCAGGTACCTCCCTGGGCTGTTGCTGAGGGTCCGGGATTGACCAATTTCCTTTTAAGGCTAAGATGGTGAGTATTTAGGCTGTGTGTACTACAGCCTCTTTACTGCAACTCCCCCATTGGTTCTCTAAGCCGTAGACCGTGTGTGGCAAACGACGGTGTCGCTGTGTGTGTGTGTGTCGCCGTGCTCTGTTATGGGAGGTTGACTCATGAGGACCTGAATTTGATTGCCAGAACCCACAGAGCAAAACAAAACAACAAAATAGGCACAGTGGTTCACACTCTCAACCCTAGCCTTGGAGCAGCAGAGACACGTCGTTCTCTGGCCAGCTAATCTGTCCGACCTCAAAAATTCCAGGCCAGTAAGAGACCAGCTCAAAAGGAAAACATATAGTTCCCAAAGAACAAGAGCTGATATTGTCCTCCAGCCTCCATGTGCACATGCATACATGTACATACACATATACACGAGCACACACACACACACACCTTTACAAAGAGGCAGCAAGCCAGCTTCGGCTCTCTAACTTTGGCCCCTAATTGCAGGGCAGGGTAACACAGGGTCACAAATTTGCCAGCTTTCTGACCTTGGAATTAGAGCCTATGTTCCGAGAGCCTCCCCCAACTCCAGCAAACCAGGAATTGGCCATTTATGCGGCGGACATGCTCCACCTCACCCCAACCCCACACGGACCCCAACGCATCACGGACTCTCACTCTTGTCCCGCCTCCAAGTTCGTTCTTTCAGTCGTTTCCACAGACAAGAGAGCTGCTCGGGCACACAGCACCCTGTCTTTTGGAAGAAAAACAATGTCATTTAGAAGGAAAAATTTTTTATCTCCTAGAAAACACTCTGGGGTGACGAAGCCTTGACCCACTTGCTCAGGGTGTGACCGGTAATGCAAGAGAAAGCTACATCTTGGGAGAGAGGGGTTGGGACAGGAGGAGAGACACAGAGAAAGGCAGGAAGGAACATAGCAGATGATGGGACATAGTAGGGAGTGGTGGGGAGATGTTCCAGCATCTAGAAGTGGTCCTGCCTTCTGCTTTCCCCTTGACATAGAGGCTAGCTGGTGGGTGGGACAGATTGGGATTCATCTCCCCTGGATCAGAAAGAGTAGAAGGGGGATTCACAGACCCAGCAGGTACAGGACTTGAGGGCATCCGAGCAGTTGCCTAGTGTCCAGGTCCCCTTCCCGTGGATGTTATGTGAGGACGAGCACAGACACAGGTGAGGTTTTCTTGCTTGGAAAGGGACTCACCCTGGATGAGAGGAGAAGCCACCAGGGGGCGCTGGTCTTCTTCTCCTGGAGGATGATGGTACAATTTTGAGTCTGGAGTTTTTGAGGGTGGATGCTCTTGGCTTTTCTGGTAATATATTTGCTAAACAACTGAGTCTCAAAACTTGACACCTGGCCCTTGGGCAGATTCAGATGTCCCTTGTGCACAGCTGCCCCACCCCCATCTGACCGTGCAGAACCAGAGTCAGTCAAGGCATCCACTCCATACAGGGGTGCATTATCTCCCCCCACACGCGTCTACAGCGTCTCCCTGAGCCCCTCAAACTGCCTTCAAAGGAGGCCCTGGAGTGTTCAGAGAGGTGAACGCGTAGCCCATCACACAGAGGGTCTGGGACTGTGACCCTGCCCTGCAGCCACGCCCTTGCCATGGTGTCACTCTGTCCTCCAGATCGCAGCGGGATTCTGGGGGAATCCTACGGCCCAAGGCCACTCTGCTGACCTTCCGTCATCCGGAAGTCCCCCTTGTCACCCGCAATTGCTCCTTGAGAGAGAGAGATGGCTGGCAATGACGACAGAGTCAGGCCCGGCACAGAGAGAGCAGGCGTGAGCTGGACACTTACTGTGTGCCTAACTCTAGTCTCTGTCATCCATTTAGGTCATCGTGAGGCTGCACAACAGGGGCGCAAAAATCACCGTGCTGCTGCTGGGGAAACTGCAGCTCAGAAATCGGGAGCAAGCGGGTTGCACTGCCAAAAAGACAGAAGAGGCAGGGAGGGGGCCAGGCGGGAGGGGCGGGCAGGCAGGAGGTGGGGGGCCACCCCTTCCACCCACCACATGTGTGTTTCACTTGTCAACAGATCTGGGCAAGAGCTCGGGCTTTCCTCCCTGTCTGCCACTCGCACAAGTCACAGGGTACTGGGGTGTGTGCTGGTGTGAGCACAGAGCGGTGTGTGAGGGAAATGAACACGGCAAGGGAGGAGTATCTGGAAGAGGAAGAGTTGCTGCAGGGGTGCGGGGGAGACTGAGGATGTGGGTGAAGGATGTGGGATCTGGACTTAGAGAGGACGGGAGGAAGAGCAAGCTAAGACCTGGGGGTCCTGATGCGGGCAGCCGTCCTGAGCTGGGCCTGTGGGAAAGCAGCAGAGTGCTGGGATGAGGAAGGGAGGGGCCCCTAGTGGGGTTTCAGCCCTGTGGGGTGTGAAGGCCCTCCAGGTGCTTCCCTGAAGCAAACACTGTTTGACACTGTTAGCCATCAGGGGAATGCTCAAGGAAACCCCACTGAGGGTCACAGCACAGCCAGACTGAAACTGACAAGGACGGAAGCAGCTCACAGTTGGATGGGGAGGGGCCGGGGTGCCCAGCATGGCTGGTGGAGTTATTCATGGCAGCACCCAGCTGCTGGTGAGGATGGGGAGGGGCTGGGGTGCCCAGGATGGTTGATGGGGTCCCAAATGGCACATCTACTTTGGAACCAATTGAACAAACTCCCATAAGGTTCAACACAACCACTGTGCACCTTGGAAATCCCACTCCCAGGCGTCGTCTGCCTAAGAGAATGCAAATACGCGCTGGTCTGAATCCATTCACAGGCTGGCAGCAGCCTCAGTCCAACAGCCAGATTCAGCCAGCCGGAGAAGGGTAACTACGCTGTGGTGTGTCCATAAGGTGGGACAGTACTCAGAATAAACAAGAGTGGATGCCACCACGCCTGCTGACAGGATGAGCTCAGTCACAGAAGCCGGGCACAAAGGTTGTGTGTGGAATGTGGATCCCAACGACACAATGTCCAGGAAGGGGCTATAGAGACGACTGGGTGGTTAAGAGCACCGGCTGCTCTTCCAGAGGACCTGGGTTCTGTTCCCAGAACATGGGAGCTAACAACCACCCGCAATTCCCGCTTCAGGGTATTTGATCCATTTTCTCACTTTCCTAGGCGCCAGGCATATATGTGGTGCATATATACACGTGCAAGCAAAACGCTCATACACATGAAAAACTTAAGATATAAATATATATGCATCTTAAAAGTTCAGGAAGGGCTGGAGAGCTGGATCTGCCCTTAACAGCACTTACTGCTCTTGCAGAGGACCTGAGTTCAGTCCCTAGCACTCTGATCTTCTGGCTCACAACCACCTGTAACTCCAGCTCCATGGGATGCAACGCCCTCTTCTGGCCTCCCTGGACACACATGTAACATATACCCATACAGAAACACATCCACATGTATAATTAAAATTTTTAAAGATTTATTTCTTTATTATGTATACTGTGTTCTGCCTGTATGTATCCCTGCACCAAATCTCATTATAGATGACTGTGAGCCACCATGTAGTTGCTGGGAATGGAACTCAGCCATCTCTCCAGCCCATAATTAAAAAAAACATTTTATTAAAGTTCAGAAGGGCTTGAGAAAGGGCTCTCTAAGTAAAAGTATTCGTCGGCCAAGCTGGAGGATCCAAGTTTGAATACCCAGAACCATGTGCTCTGTGGTGAGGAGGGACGCTAAGACAGGAAAATGTGGGGGAATCTTTATGTAAACTGTGAAGATGTGTTGTTGCCAAGGCACCTTCTGAGTGGCTTAATAAAGAGCTGAATGGTCAATAGCTAGACAGGAAGAGATTAGGCAGGACTTCTGGGAAAGAGAGGAACTTGGGGATGAATCTAAACCTTCGAGAGACACCTGGGAGACATGGAGAGTCAGACATACAGAATGAACAGAAGGCAAAAAGTCACGGGGCAGAACGGAGATTAATAGGAACATGTTGATTTAAGTTATAAGAGCCTAAGCTTTCATAATTAATAATAAGTCTCAGTGTCATTATTTGGGGGCTGGTGGTCACGACAAGAATATGCTTCTACAGATGAATCTCCCAAACTTGTGGGCTCAGCTCCCTGGGCAGAGCTGCTTCTGATCTCTGGATAGATCTGGACACCACGCCAACCTCCTGTGCTTGTCCCCACTCTTCTTCCTGGGGAGATCCCCATCCTCACTCTGGTGCTGGATGTGGAAATGAGCCTGGTTGCTCAATTGCACCCTCTACCAGCAGAATAGGTGCCTCTGTATCTGCTCATGTCACCCAAAGACCATTGTTTACCCATTCAGGTGGGTGTCACCCTCAGATGGAAGTCACCCTCAAATGGG